AGGGACCAAGATTATATTCCGAGGCTTCAGCCGAGTGGTATAAGGTCCCTTGGTTATAATATTCTTTACTTCCAAGGTTTATATTCAATTTTTCCACCACTAGCAATATACTTCAATCATTTTAGTTTTGTGAAACCGAAATATGGACCTATTGTCACCATGAAAGCACTATCTTCAATATTTAGCTATGACCATGACAGCATATGACAGTCGTTATTGATAAATACCTACTAGATTCGAGTGCCATTCCTGCGCATCTCTGACTAGAACAGTGCATTCGGGTAAATTACACCACTAGCTATACGGGTGTTTGGTGCATCGTGTGCCAAATTGTAATGGTCGAATGAAGGGGTCATCTGCTATCCTTTAAGATTAGTAAACACCTTTCATGCCCTGTGGATTATTTTGAATCGTATTTTTATCTGTTTATCAAAAAAAGACCTAAAATCCACATTCAAATACAAATTTTCAAAAAAGTATGAGGCATAGACTGAATTTTAATTTTATTCAGATGTGTGTTGTGTTAGAGTACTTTTAAATACGAAACTAGTGACATAAGTCATCTAGTTTTTTTTAGTTCACTCGCAAAGCTTATAAATATGTAAAACTCATATCAAAGCTGTGACTTTACATGGCTACAAAAAAAACCAAAAGCGACCAGGATCTTCCAACTATTTCAAAAGTTCTATAGTCTATCCTCTTGCTAACGATGTGTCACATGCTATGAATATCTTTCAACAACTTTGTAAATTCGCTAGAAACGTGAATCAAGTTCCATAAGGCTGTTTTTAAAAATGATCTGAAAAATTATTTTTGCGTAACTCTTACTCCAGAAACAAGTAAAATTTATATTTCTTGCACAATGTAAATCTGTTCGAACAAATCACGAACTGTCACCGACCCCATAATTTTTTAGTCGAGACATCACTGCCTCTGCTAACGTGTTCATTTCATCGTACTCCGCGATTCTTTCAGTTTGTTACTCTTGGTGTTATTGTTGAGTTTTGTTGACGTTTTTGTTATTGCAATGGCGACATTCTCTGACGAAGAATATGATCGCGTGCAGCCGTTACCACCGATAAAACAAGGCCTGCATGCTCCGTGGGTGACGTCACTTAGTCAGGCCTAACCAGCGGCTCGAAACGACAAGCGCTTATAGCGCTATAAGGCGACCGCGTATTTCGATTTTAGTTTTAGATCATTATTGAGCCGATTTTGCTTTTTTTTTTTGAAGGGCTTCCGGTTGAAAGAGGATGCCAGCCGTCAACTGAGCCCTTCTTCGCATCCCATTCGATTTTATTATGGAAAAACGAAGTTTCAAAGCAAAAACCAGAATAAAACACAAATACCCACCTACAGCAACCCATTCGAATTGAATATATTGGCAAAAATTGTAGTGATTCAATCTCATTAGAGGTAAACTTCACACCTACTTATACAGGGCCCGCAGAACATGAACTTATCATGAGATTGATCGAAAGAAAATTGGGGAAAATGTATTTGAGTTTGATAGACATGCCGTTTGTCATACCTAATTACCTATATTTATCTTGGAGAATTCCTATTACCTAAAAAATTAGCCAGTGAGTGTTTTCAATTTCCTGTTGTTGGATTTTTTACCCAATTGGTCGTTAGACTTGAAACAGTAATTTTTAAGTAGAGTGTTTGTAGTACGACATGTTTATATAATAGTTGCAATTTGATCATTGGAATGAATTCTGCATTCATTGCCACGAGGCAAATGACCGTTTTCAGAAAGAAATTTGAGAATGTATTGAGTCAGAAACCAAAGAGTCCAATGCATTCGAAATATGTTTCAAAACCCTCTTTTTCTGATTATCAAGACATTTTCCCGAATTATGTATCTCGTTTTTATCTATTTCAATTATCAATCACAACCGAATATGTAATTACGGGCCCTGGAGAATAAGACAATTTGAATAATGTGACTTTTTGCAAATCGATAATTTTGAACCACTTTTCGGGCACTGAAAAGACTCTAATACAACTAGAAATTCTAGAAATTCTGTGTAGCAAAATGATTTTTGGTAATTTTCGAATTCAGTTTTACTTTTGGTAAGTGCTTGTGCCAAATTTTTAGTCTCTAGTATCTCGAGTTTTTCATCACGACTTGTGCGTAATTTTACATCTTTCGATAAATAAGATGGACAGTTGGGAAATTGAGTGGGAATAACATCTCGTTTGAGCCTAAGAATTTTCAAATCTATTGTTACAGTTTTGCCAGTTTTTGAATCGGTTGCAGTAGATGAAGTAATAATATAATCTTTAGTAAAATGTAATTCACATACTTTACTGTACTTAGATGGAGTCGTAAAATCCTTGCGGTGAATTGCATGTACCCACTTTTTCGATAGTTCCTTGTCCAACGGGAAACTAAAAGCATGAACTTTTGGACCACCCACATAATTCCCCCGACAAAAGGGAACACAATACTTGTAAGGCATTGTTATTTCGCCTATCACAACACGAAATATTTCACAAAACAGTAATTTCTCCGCCAATTATTTTGATGAATAAACAACAAGAGAATTCGAGCACACGCGATTTACCTACGCCACCGTTCTTAAACAAAAACAAACTGACGATCGATCGACGCGAATGCCTTTCTAAGATGGCCTGAGTATGCGACGTCACGAGCTGTTTACGTCAGAGTCTGCTGGCCTTGTTTTATCGGTGGTAAAGGTGCAGCACAACGAACTTACCAGGAACGCTGTCCCGCGCATTGGCGTTTGACTGTGAAGGAATATCTCAACAATGTGTTCCTCCATGCCAAAGATCTAGTATACGCCACGGAAGTTCAAACTAAAGAAGTCCATCGCATAGAAACGGCCTTCGATACCATCAAGGAGGAAGAAAACAACTGTTGAAATACGAAACAGATGTCGAGCCTGCATTTGCAACAGAGGCCAACAATTCGAGCAGGATTCGTGAAATTCATGAAATGAATGCGAAATAAATGTTGAAAATGCAATTTTATTTTTTGTTTATCTCAAGTATAATCCTCGAAAAAATAGAGATACGAGACAGATGTCACCTCATAAGAGTGAGATAACAAATTTAATAGGTTCAGGTATCATTCAAACAAAAATAATTTTTCGAATCATAATTCTGAATATTTGCCTTATGTGGCTCGATTCACAATTCTAGCAAATTCACAAAGTTGTTAAAGAATATTTATGGCATGTGATACATCATTAGCAAGAGGATAGACTAGAGAACTTTTGAGGGAGTTGGAAGATCCTGGTCGCTTTTAGTTTTTTTGCAGCCATGCAAAGTCACAGCTTTAATTTGAGATTTACATATTTCGAAATTTTGCGAGTAAATTTTAAAAAAAACTAGATGACTTATGTCACTAGTTTTGTATTTAAAAGTACTCTGACACGATACACATCTGGATAAAATTAAAATTCAGAGTCTACGCCTTATACTTTTTTTCAAATTTGTGTTTGAATGTGGAATTTAGGTCTTTTTTTGATGAACAAATAAAAAGACGATTAAAAATAATCCACAGGACATGAAAGGTGTTAACTAGTCTTGAAGGATAGCAGATGACCCCTTCATTCGACCATTTCAATTTGGCACACGATGCACCAAACACCCTGTATAACCTAACATCATTTACTCCTCTTCGAAATGTGAAGTTTGTTTCTACTACCAAGGTAGTTTTCGTCATTTTATTAACCACTAGTCAATAAAGACATAGCCACCTCTGTTATAATCAACCCGAATGCACTGTTCTGATCAGATATTCGCAGGAATAGCACTGGAATCTAGTAGGTATTTATCAATAACGACTTGTCATATAATTATGCTGTCATGGTCATGGTCAAATATTGAAAATAAGTGTTTTCATGGTGACAATAGCTTCATATTTCTGTTTCATAGAATTAAAATGATTGAAACATATTGCTTGTGGTGAAAAAAATGTAATATAAACCTAACTATTACCACGGGACCTTATACCCCTTGGCTGAAGCCTCGGGATATAATCTTGGTCCCTGGGTAATAATGATATTCTTTACTACCTTGGTGTATAAATAACTATTATATGTTGTTTTTTAAAATGATGAGGATGATTGATTGATTTTCAGTGCCACATATATGGACACCAGGGCATTAAAGGAAACGAAGAAGCAGACAGATTGGCACGACAGGGAGCATTGCTGTACAGACCGACAACATAATGTAACTAAACATGATTATTCTTTTATTAAAACGTTACACTTTTATATTTCGCACATCAATAAAAAACATATTTTTAAAAATAACAAAATTTTCTGAATATTTCAAAAAAATAATAAAATTCAACTAAAAATTTATAAAACAAAAATATACAAGTCACCTGAAAATAGTGAAAAAATTAAAATAACACATTAAATAATTTTGTATGTTGTCAGTTCTTATGAAAAGTGAAACGTCAAAGAGCTATTTTAATAACTAAAAACAAACGATGATCTCTAAACGAAATGCATTAATGAACTAATAAATGTTATGGCTACACCAGATAATGACTATCCATGTATGAATTGATCTTTAATCAAAAATCCTTGAGGATATCAGGCTTCAACAAATCAAGTTATTGTTTATTGATGCATTTAGTGGCCAATTGAACATGAAATGCTGGCAAAGCTTCCAGGAGACTGTTTCTTCGAAAAAACCAATTCTTTTTATATGCTGGAGGCAAATTATTATCCCATCCCTTTCACATTTTATCCCCTTTTCCCTCGTTCTGCTGGCCAATATAATGTTATATCTAAGTAAAAATAGCTGATTTTGAAAATATGACTACTCCAATGGATTGAAAGATAGCTAAGATACAGAGGGGGTCCCAAAATAAAACGTTTACAATTTCGCTCTGTATCTCAAAAACGAAGCGTGTTATAAAAATGTTTTTGCGGTATGGTCAGTTTCACAAATAAGTAGAGGTAACGTTTGCGAAAACCACAAATCTTTGAAAATAAGTGAGATGTGGATATCCGCTAAGGATATCGAAAATGGGTCAGCATTAAATTAATAAATATTATTTACGCACAGCAATTTAACTACTGTCCTGTTACGTCCCAACTAAACGTTGCCCATTCTTACATTTACGGTGTCCAACTAGACTTCCGTTTCAACCATAATTCAAATTTAAAGTCCTGCAGCATTCATCGGTATTGAAGAAAAAATTAACAGAAATGTACTATGCAACTTGATTTTGTGTACCTATTCAATTTGCAATGGTATAGTCATTATCAATAATAAGGTGACGTAAGATTGCTATGAGCGCCATGAAGCTCTTTGAAGCTCGGTTACGTGAAAATGCTTTCTATATGCTCCACAATTATTTTCACCAACCCAAAAAAGGTTTTCAACAGCACAAAAATAATTTATGAATTCCAAAGTACAAGAAATTGACTTAATTTTCAAGTGACCAAAAAAAAACAGTCTTTGAGTTCAAAATAATCACATTTCTGATTTTACAGGTACTATTTGGGAACTGAATATTCAAAAATTTAAATGCTCCCCTCAGGAGAAGCTGATCTAGCATGGAATTTCCTTTTAACTGGAGAAAAATATTTATGATTCAGTGCTTCTCGAGCAGTGATTCTTTCCATATGGTCAATTTTCAGTAAATTTTCCAGTAGCTCCAAGGCATGTTCGTCTACAAGGTATTCATGTTCGGTGTGCACGTAACGCTGCCATGGTTTTCTGCTGTGGATTCCTAAGACTGCTTGAAATTTCGGTTCGATGGAGATGTTGTATTTCTTGAGGTAGGCATGAAGATCAGCAGTTCCTGAATAATAAGAATACTAATTCAACAAGTAGTGGAAGTCATATCTTATTCTTTCTCTGCTACTGACTATTCAAAAAAATATCCCCAGATTAAAACCGTATACATTTTTTTCTATTAGCCACCACTGGCAATCTTGTTGTTTTAATAATATTCAAAGTCCTTGGTGTAATCAAATTATTTTTGATCATGGATTAGTCTCCGTAAAATAAACCTTTACACATTTGACTTATTTAGTTTCTCTCAGTGACGGGACTACTTTTCATAGATTTTGTGCTGGAAAAAAGAGATTTTTTTCCAGGCAAACTCTTTACTCTCTTCTTGGTATTTTCTGGTATTGATTTGATTATGTAATGTTTTTGTATAGTTCAGTGACAGATTTATGTAAAACGTTGACACTCGAGACAATCAAACAGAATAGCCGATGATATTTTTTTCTTTACCTGAATAGCAGGATAGAAATTTCAATAGGTGGAGCCATGTGTAAATGAAATAATCATCACCAATTCAATGACACCAGGTTTGATGGGTCAAAATGTCTACAAAAATATGGTAAACTGCCTGATCCTCAATACCAGTCAAGAGGTTTTTCACAGTCTCTTGGCATAGACCCATCATGCCTGATATATTGCATTGTATTGGTTAGCCATATCCGAAAATGATACAATATAACTGAGTTCACCATTTGAAAAACTAGCGATTCCTTTCGTACTCAAATGTTGAACACCTTGTATATTTTTGGCGTAGTTCGAAGAATGCGCCTCCAAAAAATGTAATCGATGTGTAAGAGAGATTTCGTCTGAACTATAACCGTAAGAGATGAAGGGTCGCTTGGATTATGCGCAAAATGCCGTATTAATATTTGAAAAATTCCGAATACTTCCAAAGTTTTTTGGGAATAAACCGATTATTCGCGATTTCATTTATTTATGACTATTTTTTTATCGCTTGGAGCGCACGAAAGGAAATCCCTATAATGTTCAAAGAACATCGTGCGTTCCTAGGGAGGATAGAGACAGGAGGTAGGTATTGGATTTTTTTTTTAACTTCTGGAGATTATATGTTGTTGGGAATACTTCCTCAGGCAATGAATTCCAGAGCCTAGATGTAACAATAGTTATTTATGTATCAAGGGCGTAAAATAGGCTTTTATGGACTGTAGCGTGTAAGAAAGAGCCCGAGCGGAAGCGAGGGCTATTGACACGCATAGGTCCATAATCGCAAGTTACGCCCGAAATACATACATTTTATGCACGACCGGTATATTCGATTTTTCATTGTAAATACCTCTTCACCCCTCGAGAATGATAAAAATACATCATGGCTGCAGTAAGAAATATCATTGATGGAATCGACGTTACGGCAACTCAGTCAATTTCATAAATTAGGAGCAGTTTATTCTATTTGCTGTCAATTGATGTCATCACAAACAACTTATTTTGGGTTCGATCATATCATTTTGCATCTCAGAAATATCGAGAGAACTGTACTATTAGATAGGAAACCATCACAACTGAAATATAAATGTCCTGAATTGTACAGGAATGCCCGCATAACCGGGCGGTAAAGTGCTACTTTACGCCCGGTCGTGCATAAAACAAGTTACACATTCTCATTGCTATTTCTTCTGTTCTACGAGATGATGTTATCAGATTTTCAAACCCACATTTCGTCTTTGAGCTGTCACCGTCAACTTTGCTTCTTTGTTAAATACGACCCTGCATTTTTTATCATGAATTTCATGAGCTTTCAATCTCCTAAAATCAACGGTGTATCGCACCTATTCGAAAAATTCATATTAATGGCATTCTCCATAAGAGAATATAGTTTTAATAGGATTATATACAAACATTCTGGAAGAATCCGGAATTTTTCAAATTCCCAAGCATCATTTGCATTGTGCAACTTTGCCATAATTCAACCGACCCTGTATCTCTTACGGTCTACAACATCCCAACGATTAGGCTCAGATTCCAGCGACCCTGTATATTATTACACAGTTTCCATTCTTAACGTCCGTAGTGTAGAAAAATGAATGCAAAATGATACATTGCTTTTTGTAAGCAATAGTGGGAGAATGTTACATATATCAATATATACTTCACCTAAAACTCTGACAATCCTAACAAGCTGATCATAATTATTCATTCCATGGAAAAAGGGCTCATTTCTAAACAGCATTGATGCAAACATACAGCCCAAAGACCACATATCTAATGAGTAATCGTAATACCCATATTCTACTAGAAGTTCAGGTCCCTTAAAATACCTGAAATACATCAGAAATACCAATCAGATATCTTTGAAGTGTACAACTTTCATTTGACATGTCAACCTGTATGTTCTTTGCATAATTTAATCAACAAAAAATACTGAATCGACGCATAAACAACTTCTGAAATGGACTCTAAAAACGCAACATAAACAAGTTCTCAATAATTTCCATGCCACATACCTATTTTATATTGATCTTCCCATTTATGAATAGTATTTGATGAAATCGTTCATTATTCAAAATTTTCACAAAAATATTTTTAGTAGTGAAAATCCGCACCTTTCAAAAACGTTAGTTTTGGATCACGTGATCCACCGATAAGCTGACCACATTGTTCAACAACCAATGAGAGCAAGAATTCCCTTCCACCGTAGAAGTGTACCGAGACACACACAATACATAGATTATAATACCATAAATATAATATGTAGAAGAACTCTAACCCATCCATCAAGGCCAATCAAAACCGGAAGAAACAAGAAGCCCCTAACCAAATTTAGCGGATACTGGGGTTATACGAATTCAAGTATAATCTTTTTATTATTGAATTTTGTTGTAGGAAGGAATAGATTACGGCAAAATGTCAGGGCCACAAAATTCTTAAGGTTATCAATCAGAATAATTCTTGCTTTGTCTGACAGAAAGAGTTTTCCCGGGTTAGTCATGTTATGAAATATTTTGTTTTTCAATAATTTTAAGTATCAATTGTGTGTGTGTGCATAATCTCTGAATATACTAACGAAGTTGCAGAAGGTTAGGTTATTATTAATTCGATTATTATCATTATTAATAATAATTTTCATTTTGGACTATTATTCCATACTATTTAGTCCACTGCCACAATCTGTTTTTTCGTCAATTTTTTTATTAATTATTGAAATCCACGATATTACATGACATGAAAAACACTGACGACATAATATCGTGACCCATCCAATGCAACTAAATACGAAACTTCTTGTATCGTACGTATTATGTATATCTCAGTACACCCCTACGTTGGAAGTGAATTCTTGCTCATTGGTTGTTGAAGAATATGAGAGAAGTGGTGCCTGTCGGTGAAATTTGTCTGCTATCGTTTTTAGAAGCCGACAATAATTATTGAGGAACCATACGACCCTATTCATCCCTACTTCACGACCGGTTCAGGTGGGATATCAAACAAATCAGTGTCCCATTGAAAACAAAAAAAGTATTGAAATAACCATTGTTGTTCAATACAATTCAACGTATGGATTTTGGAGATTTATATTCTGAAATAAACCGGAGAGCTTCATCTTGCGGTTGAGTTTACTCGGTTGTATCGATGCCATCTCACTCAACACCTATCGAATCTCACTCAACACCTATCGACTGTCAGTATATTGCTTGGAGACATATTTTGAAGGTATTGTACACATACTCTTATTTCACCTCAATTCACTGAAACAAGTTTCAACAATCTAGAAGAAAAGATATGTTACCTTGAGGCCACTCTAACATTGTACTCCTGGCCTGGATGATAAAACTCCGCCAGGCCCCAATCAATCAGTCTTAATCTGCGGTTCTCCTGATCAATTATGATATTGTGAGGTTTGACATCCCTATGCATGATTCCGTGACTGTGACAGTATTCGAGAGCCTTTAGGACTTCGTATAAATAGTACCTTAAAAAATGTATTAATAGGTATAAGCAAAGAAATCAATTGAATATTTTGAAACAAAATTAACAATGCATTTTGTTATCACAAAAGTAGTTGTATTTGATCTCTTGATTCACCAGTGGCTGTTGAGTGGGCATACAGTGGCACTTAATACTCACTATACCGCCTGACGTTTTCAAAAAATTAAATCCACACTAATCAGTCGATTCAGATCAAGCAACATTCATTTATCATTACTATTCTCTACACCTATTCAGATCATAAGACTAAATACGAAAATTTTCAAACACGAAAATTGTGGTATAGTTACACATTCCCTCCTATTAGAATCTATATTGATGAAGTTTTACATAAGGTATTAAATGTAGCCCATTGAAACTCAAGTTAATATACATACAATTTTATATATATCATGCTCTTAAGTGTGTATTTTCCCTCGGCTGACGCCATCGAATCATTATTCACGCCACAGGCCATGAACGCATACTTCGAGTTCTTGTACATAAATAATTATTTTAGCAAGGCGCATATATCTATTCTCCTTTTCCGTATTTGGGCGAAGTAGCAGACAAAATATCTTCACTTATGTGTATGTCAGTGCATGCACTATACAGGGTGATTCATTGGGAAATGCGCATAAGATAAAAGGGTGTTGTTTTGACTCGGAACCTACTTATTAATGTTTTCAAGGCCTGCTGTGGACTGACTTTTTTATTATCGTCACCACTGTGGACAAATAACATACAAATATATCAAAAAAATGTGTAGGGGGTTCATAAATAATGATTAATTGAAAAAAGGGGAAATCTATAAATCACCCTGTATATTGGTTATAAATAATGATAGACCGATGAAATATAGATTATTCAGAAGCACCTCAGTGTTCTTTATCTACCCTTACTGTATGCGCATTTCCCAATGAATCACCCTGTATAAAATCGACTTAGAAATTGGGGTGCGTGAATATAGCATGAAAGGCTATTTTTTTGTCGCCTCTGCTGTATTAAATATTAGAAAGGTACGCGCTTATCATTGATACTATTATGGTTCCGGACATTCTCGATAAACTCGCGGAATATTAAAATTAATCTCTTTGGCTATTCCAAAGTCAGTTGGAGCGGCTCGAGTAAACTTGCATTCGGTTCGTTTGAAAGACTTAACATGGACTTCATAAATCCCATGAAATTCGGTACTTGCGAATAAGTTTCAAGATCGCTTACCGATCGATTACCAGTTTTCAGTCACAGCCTTATATTTGACCATTTTTGAAATATAGCGTCAAACACTTCTCTACATTTAATCCGCATCATATTAAATTATTTCCATTTAGTGTTGGAAACTAATTACACAGAAATAATGTCTCACCTTGAATCTGCCTCGGTCAGCTTCAAATAAACGTTTTTGAAATCTTCGGTATGTACAAGTTGTTCAAGAACGAGAGCCGTCAAATCGGTATGAGGTGTATTAAGAACAGCCAGGAGTTTCACAATATTGGTACCGCCTTTGAGACATTCCAATATCTTGATTTCTCTTTTGATTTTCTTTTTCCTCACAGGTTTCAACATCTTGATAACAACTCTGAGCAAACACTTATAAATGATTATGAAAAGCCTAAGCATTTCATGGAATGTACCCTACGTTATCGTTATCTCATGTTGAGGAAAGGCAATATCCACGATATCACTTGGTAGTATAATACGTTTCGTGAAATAACTCATGTCACTTACAAAATATACAGGGTGTTAACAAATAAGTTTCACAACGGAATACTGTAGATTCCTCATAATAAAAGAAACATTTCTTTCCTCTTCAAAATTTTTCTACAGGCTTCCGTTTTCAAGATCGAGATACAGGGCGTCAAAAAATCAAAAATGTTCAGTTTAATTAAACACACTTTACAACACTTAATAAACTTGACAATTTGAAAACCAGCATACTCAAGAACTGACATTTGATTGAACATATTCTTAGACAGTTCTGAGGTGTTTAATTCCATTGGATTTTTAGACGATTTTTGGAGATACCATCAGGATTTTGAATGTTCTTATTCATAAAGAGCCATTTTTCGTAGAAACTGTTCACTTTAGAGCATTGCGACAAGAAGACGTGTTTTGTGTGAAAGATAAAAATTACAATTTATCCAATGACATAAATGTGTGGGGGGTTAAACCCTTACGAGGCGTTGAATTCTCCTCCACTGACATGTCCAAGGAAATTGATCAAGAGCCCTAAAAGTAGTCATTATTGATGATGAAGTGTGTACTAAGGCTTAGCTCCGTAGCTCAAACGGTTCCTAAGATAGTAGCAAAAAACAGATTTTTTCGTATTATATTAAATATATTAAACGGAAGCCCGGAGAAAACTTTCGAAAGGGAAAAAACTGTTTTTTGTTTTCATGAGGAATCTACAGTTATCCGTTGTGACACTTATTTGTTAACACCCTGTATATACATAACGTAGCAACAATTAAGAGTATGCACCAAAATAATTGTCTCGGGTTGAGAATTACTTGTTCCTCTGAGATAACTGATAAGCAAATATGGAATCATATACGGGATCCATTAGAAAATATGTCAATTCTATTGACCATTCTAGAACACGTGATTTTGACTAGGTTTCTTGGAGGGCACACAACACACAAACTATATGTTAGGTTACCTTTGAGAAGCAATGAGCATATAGGCGATTCCGATGAAAACGATCCCACTAATTCTGGTTTCATAATGCAAATTTTGACAAAATACAATAATGTTCGCCCTCCAGGGACCTGTCGAATGACTTAATTCTGGAATGAATAATTCTTACATGAATGAGTTTAGTTTCGTTGATCCACATTGAGATCCACAGTATACAGGGTGTCCAATAAGTCGTGGATTAAAAGAAGTGGGGTGGTTGGTAGGAGGAGTCATTTCCGATCAAACTACCCGTATACACGTGTGGCAAGAATAATTTTCCTATAGAGAAACCGAAAGCATTGTGCATGGGCATTTAAAAAAGCGACGTTGCATTACGATACGTATCGCACTAACGCATTCTTCGAGCAAGTCCATTTTTCGGTCCGACCGAAGGGATTATCGTTTGCAACACGTGCCATACCCGAGTAGGTGGGACAACGAAGCATTTTTCCTTTATTAAATATCCATGAATCTATATGCGTATTCATTCACACGGTTTCTCTATAGGAAAATTATTCTTGCCGGGCGTGTATGTGGTTATCCAATTGTTGATGGTTCAAGAATCTTGAAATTTTTTTTGAAGAAACGCGACAATAAAAAAAGGCTACTTTGAATATAGGCCGCTGACTTTTGACACCGTAGATCGCATAAATTCACACATTCCTTTTTTCTTTTGCATGTTATTAGGCTATGTCATAATAGTATAAAACCAAGTTTGCAGCTTCAAATGGCCTAGGCTAAAAGTGTGGTGCACATAAGACCTCGACATTTCATACTATTTTCGGTTTTTAGCCCAAAAGTCCTATAAGGCGGCTTCCTAAAGAAAAAGTTAATCAGGCCTTTTGTGAAGCTGGATGAATTTCCTACAATTTGAGTCCATTTACGAAGAATGAACTTTATAGTGTATTTATATAGCTTCAATTCATGCTCATACTCAAAAGCGTGTAGGCTCAATAGCACCATTGTTATCTCTAAAAAACTACTATAGCCAAAAATTGTATTTTTCTATAAATGAAACCAGACGATTAGATTTGCTGTTTCAACATATATTACGGAAGCGAAAGAAAACAACTAATGTATAATGTTTTTGGGTGTACCTATGATAAATTGACATTCATCATACAGGGCGTGGAAGTCCTGTATCTTGTTGTTCGGACCCACAAAAATCTAATCATACTAAAATGGTATAATTTATCCATTTGAATTTTTCTATAGGAAGCAGCCTTTTGGGACATGGGCTAAAGACCGAAATTAGTCGAGAAGTTTGGAGGTTTTTCGAGAAACACACTTTTAGCCTAGATCTTTGGAAGCTGCAAACTTAGTTTTATACTATCAGGACAGCCTACCAACATGCGAAAAAAAAGGGTTGTGCGAATTTATGTGAACTTTGCCATATTTTTTGTCTAGTGTCAACAGCCAAATAATCCAATATGTTATACCATTTCGGAATCTGTATTAAATGGGCAACTTTTTCTGATAGTTGGTGTCTTTGTGGGGGTAGTTTTTGAATCTGCCAATGGCCAGTGGCATTGAAAAATCAAATGAAATATTTCATGTAACAAAATCTAAGGAAAATAACATTTTTTATAATTGATACACAGGTCATAAAAGATATTTATTGGGAAAGGTGCAACCATGAAAAGAATTTAATTACTTTTGAACCATCAACAATTGGATAACCACATATACGGTTAGTTTGATTGGAAATAACCCCCACTAACACCCTAACACCCCACTTCTTTTGATTTATGACTCATAATATCTTCTTATGGAAGTTACTATTTTTCATTATAAAGGTATATAACCTTACCACCCTTTGGATATTTTCTCAATTCTTTTCATTATTTCTACTTGTTTCAAGAAATTAACAGATGATCTTCATAATATCATTTATGTGAATCCCACATAACAGTTCCTATTTGTAGTGGGTGTCTCAAATTGGATTTCTGTTATCATTGATCATTAAAAAAAGGCTTTAGTTGTCATGAGTCACTTTTCGAAGAAGGCATTCTTAATTTAAATTTAAATTACCTCTCATTTCTGCCATCATGTCGTCCTTCGAAAACGTTACTGTATTTTCCATGTCCCAATTTGCGTACCAGCATGTAGTCATCAACATTTTCATACTGAGGAGTGAAACTGTCATATTCATAATAGGAATTGTGTTTATTTGATAACACATCTGCATAGACTTTTGAAATTGTTTTCACTTGTTTGTTTTTCAAATCTCTGGAAGAAAAGTCCACAAAAATGTTGTATAATATTCAGTGAAAGGTTTTTCCGCCTACCTCAATCCAAAGTATATATTTCCTGGCCTCATTGTGAGGAGCAAAGACGTGCTTTTACTCCCTAGGAAGGAAAAGTACATTTTTCTGTGACGGGAAAAAAGTTTGAAATTTCATCTCAGTTGACAATGAAAAAAGTGAGTACTTTTCTCCCGGATATAAATGACATATTTATATACACTGTTTATGGCTTTCGTTGTGCTATAGTTCCGAAAAATACCTATAACACCGTCTCCGAGAAAGAACTGCAAGTCCTTTTACCTTCCATTCGACTTCGCGGTTACATAAACTACCAAACAACCATTAAATTCGCAATTTTTCAAAATAAAATCACAGAATTAGATTGACAGATATATGATTACTTCAAAAGAATGATGAAGATGCCTGTAACGCAGGTATATCATTCCTGTTAAAAACTTCAAATTTCACGTTGATAATTTTCTGATTTTAATATAATGTAATATTTTCTCAATACTGATTCGTCCTTATTCCTGTCACCGAAAAAATATTGTATTGTAAGTACCGGGTGAGTCATTGAAATGGGAAAGTGATATAACGCCTTTGCTGTTTGAGATAGATGAACAAAAACAATTATTGTGATGATCTAGGCTCATGAGCAGCACATTTCCAAAATATTTCGCTTTATACAGGGTGACTTAAAAATGCGTGACGTATCAGAGTTATACTTATTCTTATGGGACACCCTGTATTTCATTGTATTTCATTGTATTTTCGGATTCTCCTTTGTGAGCTGATTTCATCAATGCATCACACTTGGGTCTAGCAAGAATGATTACAAAGATATAGGGTGGGCAAAATCGAGATATTTCAACTTTAGGATTTTTTTGGGTCGAAACTATTCATTATTGATCAAAACGGGATACATGTCCCTATCTTAACTTTTGATTTACTATCTACTGATATTTAATTTGAACGAATACAGAGTGGTTCATGATTCTGAATTTTACATCCAATATTCTGAGTTATAACTCGGATTTTTAAAATTCCGAGTTATAACTCGGAATTTTACATCCAATATTCCGAGTTATAACACGGAATTTTAAAATGCTGAGATATAAGTCGGAATTTTGATGTAAAATTCCGAGTTATAACTCAGAATTTTGAAGAGTTTTTATTTTTTTTATTTTATGTGTCCCTTCCGTGCCTTCGTAGAAAAGATTTAATGCAAAAAATATTTAGTCAGCCTTCACTAGAATAAGTAGGTACCTACTCTATATTTTGATCTAGACTTCACAGTAATAAGACATTTAGGGAAATATTTTTCTGAAGTTTCTATACAGGGTAGGGCATTATAGTGCGTCGGAGCTTGATTCAAAAACGAATGTGAATGAGACAGCAAGAACAATAACTAGTGTATATTGCCGAATATACAAGGCGCACCGAAAAAAATTCAGAGGGTCGAGATCAATTAGCACATTTTTGAAGCATATCTGTGACCTCGATTCACTCCTATAATATCTTTTACTATGTCTCGACCATATTAAAGTCATTAATTTGTTTTTGTCGAAATAATGTCATTTGCAGATGCATACCGAAAGAAGCACTGTCACAATTTTATGAAATTTAAGTGAGAATAATCCTCGGAATAATCATATTATTTTGATGGAAAGATGCGTGATATTTCTGAAAAATGTTCATGCCCTCAAATCATACAGGGTGGCTGAAAATGATTTTTCAAATTGGAACTTTTCTAAGTGATTTTTTTCGAGTTTGTTAAATTGTTAAATGGAACACTCCATATATTTTTTAGCCTTTTGACATGAAATCAAAAGACGAACATCTTTTACCTCAACATCCATATTGATAGTAGTAAATATTTTTGAATTATTGAACTTTTGGGCTGGCCATTTTCATCAAAAATTAATAACTTTGATATGATCCAGACATTGTCAACGATATCATGGGTGGATGGAGTTCACAGAGATGCTTCAAGAAATTTTGCGAATATACAGGACATTCCGTTAAGAAAATGATCCCGACCCTCTAGATTTTTTTCGGTACTCCCTATATATGCCGAAATAATTTCGAGTTATGGACCTTGTCTCATTCATATTCGTTTTTGGATCAGCAAGTATCTAGCTATCATAGAACTCGAGCAATCGAGCTCCGACGCACTAATTCCCCACCTTATATATACTTAATCTTTCTCTACAAGCCCTCCAATTTCATTTTACTTGCCAATGAGGGCTAACATTTTCAGTCTCACCAGTTGGCGCTACTAAAATGTGAGAAGTCAAAAATGCCAAAATTTTGCTGGAAAGCAGTAACGACTCTGGCCTGTTTTGTAGAAAATAATCGAAAAAAATTCAGAAGAATATTTGAACAAATAGACTTGAGTAGACTTACGTCTTTTCACTCTCAACGTGGAACTTTAAGACAATGATGGAAGAATGATGGGAGTAAAAGATATGGTTTGCGCATTCGGCCATTATTACGTATTGAAAATTTCAGAAAAATCACTCGACCGGCCTACTATGATTTCTCTTCGTCACAAACGAGCGAGACGTTGATTCTACATTTTCCCGCTAGATGGTGATGCTGCTATTGTTGCTGTGACGAATGGAAATAAAATGGCAAATGCCATTTTAGGTACGCAGAACATATGTAACAGTGGGATTAAACAACTCTGAATTCGAAAAATCTGCGACAATTTCAAAACTGACAGAAGTCATAATTGTGCAATGTCGCCATCTATTAGAAGATCAACGGAACCATTGCTCTCGCTGCTCTCGAGAGGTCGAGTAAAATTTCTGAAACAAAAGCGAATCAGTAATTACACCATATATCTTACTTCCATCATTGATGAACAGCGAGGGGAGCATCTCTTTGCACCCACATCTCGTTGGGGCAACATTTCGTTGCAGCCACATCTCGTTGCAGCCACATTTCGTTAGGCCCACAGTCTCCGAACGTACCCGAACGATGCGCTGTTGCCACATATAATTAAAAAATCTCGATTATACTGAAAAGGTTATTGTGGCCCTAACGAGACACTCTCATCTTGATCAATCCACGTTTCTTTCAAGCTACATTTCGTTGCACCCACATCTCGTTGGGCCCATTTCTCGTTGGAGCCACATTGCGTTGCAGCTACATCTCGTTGCAGCCACATCTCGTTGGGCTAGATTCGGCGACCGGGGTTCAATGCCTGAGACGGTCGGCATTTTTTTATTTTGTTTTCTCAAGTGATTTTCCGAAAAATATAATTTTTAGGAAGAAGGTTCATTTAGGCCGAGTAAGGTTAGTTGGTTTGAAAAAGTAGTGTCCTTTTTCATGCAGAGGGATATTTTCCTTCCTGAAAAAAGTACTGTTTTTTTAGGAAGAAGGTTCATTCAGGCTGATTAAGGTTAGATGGTTTAAAAAAGTAGTCTTTTTTTTATCCTTCCTTGCTGAAAAAAGTAATGTGGAGGCATTTACTGTGCTGTTGAGGCTGATAGTGATTCGCTATTCCAATGATATTATTTCAGGATCGGTCGTGAGCGAAGCTCATGACTGGAAATTTTCTATTAAATTGATTCTGCACCAATTGGGGTATTGGTTATTTACCTGTGGCTCCAACGAGATGTGGCTGTAACAAAATGTGGCTTCAACTAAATGAGGCTCCAACGAGATGTGAGTGCAACGAAATGTGGCTGCGCAGCTTTCGGGTACGTTCGGAGACTGTGGGCCCAACGAAATGTGGCTCCAAAGAGATGTGGCTGCAACGAGATGTATCTGCAACGAAATGTGGCTCCAACGAGATGTGGCTGCAACGCGGCGCACTCACAGCGAGAGCAATGGTTCCGCCGATCTTCTAATAGATGGCGACAACACCAATTGATAGTGAGTGAAAAGTTGAGATAGGGAAATGTAAACCGTTTTGACGAATAATGAACAGTTTCGACAGAAAAAAATCCTGAACTTGGAAAATCTCGATTTTGCACACCCTATATGTCAGTAATTTTCACTGCTAGACCCTAAGTATGATACGTCGTTGAAATCAGATCTTCAGGGAGAATTCAAAAATGAAATAAAATATAGGGTGTTCCGATGAAAAAAACCTAGCTTTGATGTGCTGTGACCTTACGGAACACCCTGTGTATTTCAAAGAAATTTTGAAATGTGAAGCTCGGTTATTAATTCAATTCTTATACATGAATTTTTTTTGTATCTCTCAAGACAACAGAGAAATCGAACTCTGGAGTCTTAGTTGGCCACCCTGTACATCTAAAATATCACCCGAGATATCACCCATTTCTCATAAACTATCAATCTTCCTCCTGAATATACATTTTTATTTTATTTTAAAATGTGTTAAATGGTATATGGTTGGTGCACTACGAAGGGTGAACAACCTTCAAAAAATTTGTACACCAGAATCTCTGGCATTCTTGGAATCCACCCGGAATCCCATGGAATCCTACTGGAATTCCACGAAATCCCACTGGAATCCCATATATGCCTGTACACGATAATTCCAAGGTGGTTTCACCCCTGGGTACACTATCAAAGGTACTATATATATATGTATTTCTATTAGGCAGTAGACATTTGAAATCTTGAGAATGGTGAGCTATCAGAACTAAACAAGAGTAGGTATAGGTAACATTTTCAAGTAGAAATGATGATATTTTTATATTTCCTGGTCAACCTGCCCAAAATTGCATAAAAAATGGGGGAAGAAAGTGCCCCTATTGCTCTATTATTTCCCACCTCTAAGATCAAAATTTTTGAAAATTCTCAATATTTTAAAATGGAGCATACTTATATAAAAAGTTAGGTACATGTACAAAATTTGGTTATTTCATGACAGAGGGTTTCAAAACTATTTACAAAAAAACATCATTTTAGCGGATCACCTTCAGATAGCTAATAATTCCCCTAGGGGATCATTTCTGGACCAATGTTGGAATGAATAACTCCTTTTATCGAGCCTTTTATAATTTTTGTTCCTAGAATCTATGTGGTTAAAATCTTTCTATGTCTATATAGCCTATATTTGTTACTATAATTGAGTAAAAATTGTGCTGTTAACTCTATAGATGGTGCATAGGTATAGGTAGGTATATTTATACTTTATTTATATACTCATCTCTGAATCTTCATTATTATATGATGGTTGATCAGAATAATTACTAATTTTATTGGAGTTGATGTAAACATGTACCTATATGATTGATGTTGATTGATTTTTATCATGTTATGACAATATATATCATCTCCTACTACATATATCCACCTTTACCATATCTATATATCAGTTCTTCTGTTCAGTTTTGCCAAAGCAGTATGTGAAGGCATATGGTGTTGATATGAAATATTTAAATTTTACTTACGAAAAATCCTCATATTTGTCCATTGCACTTTTTGGAAGCCTTATTGGTCATTGATATTTTTCCTTCCCTTTCTTTCACAATTTGACACTCAAGATAAAGGTACAGAAATTGTTTGAATAAAGAACCCTATTCCAGCTGCAAAATTTATTTATATTGAATCAACAAAAAAAATCAACATATTTTTCAATTCCAATGATTCCATGAAGTAGGTACTTATTAGGTATATATTCAGTCTCAATTTTCATAATTTAGTTACTCGAATTTCTAAGGAAATACATGCGAATAATGCCATAATCGATAGACATTATTCCATAAAAGGAACACAATATTCTTGTTGAAGGAAAATAATATCAGTAAAAATGAGCTAAAAATCCAACAGAGCGACAAAAACTACACACCAATATTTACTTCTTATCGAAAAGTATCCCGATTCTTATTATTCTTTCGAGTTTGGGTATTCCCGTTTCCAGTCCAGACAAGAAAAAACACGTTAGAGGAATTATTAAAAAGGCGGTAAAATTTTAAACCAGCAGGCAACAACCTTCTGAGACAACAACATTAACCTAGACGTGACATTCGTCAATTTATACTGTGATTCTGTGCATGGTTTTTGTTTCTGTGACACTCCGACACACGACTGTGAGATGTCACGACTGGATTTAGACAGTAGAGAGTGGTAGAGAGAAGGTAGAGAGTTGTTGCCACGAACGTTAACGTAGAAATTGACAGCTACGCATGCGCATTTTTCAATTCTTCACGTTCGCGTTGGTAGTGGGCTTACCAGGTGTACGTTATCTCACGTACTTTTCCGTATACCTTAAATATCAACGTACGTTAACCGAACCAAACTCGAAATATGCCGATGAGTCAAAATCATCAAATTCGAGATCCTTAAGGAGTTCTGCATCAGGGCAACCTTCCATTTTAACACGAATAAATGTTTTGATCTAAACAAACAACCAAAACTGACCAATACAAACCGATAACATAATTTGTTATAACGTTACGATGACAGTGAGGACTTCAACTCAATTTGAAGACAATACGTTAACGTCATTTTTCGTACTTTAACGTTTACGTGGAGGTCTACGTACGTTGATTACTTCAACTCTCTAATATCTTTACGGAAGCGTAGGAACAGCCATTCGAATTACTGCAACTTACAACCAGCAGTAATTCGAAATACTGCAACTTGTGAACTTGCAGTAATCTTATTCAGGAGTTTTGCCTGCGCAACGTTTCTGCTTGTTCTGCCACGTTCTGGTTCCTGTGTTCATTCAATTTTTCATTCGGATTCCAGTTCTCAGGCTCGGGCTTCTCCCGGCTTCTCAGTATTTCGAATAATAATTAGTATATTGTTTTACGAGCACGGAATGATAGTCATTTCTCACGAGATTAATGTTCGCAGCATGAGCCGTAGGCGAATGCTGCAAATCATACATGTGGGAAATCAACATTCCTGTAATAAGATTACAGCGAAATGGGCATAGGTGGCGTACACGATGACCGACCCTGGAGGCAAAATATTGGAACACAACCTCACTCTTCTGTGAATTATTGAAACACAACCTCACTTTTTTTATTTTTTCACAGAGGAATCAAAGGATTTAAATAGTTTTTCGCAATATTTTGGCACAAAAAATGGTGTTTTTGCTCTATTCATTAATTCAAGCATGCCTTCGCATTGTGCTGTTGTACAATGCACAAAAAATGCAGCGAGAGATGAAGGAATATGATTTTTCAGGTCAGAGATAAGTTACCCACTCTGTTCAGGTAAATAGTAATCTCACATAGTGTTCATTATGAAATGTTGTAATTCCTGCTTAAAATTCCTTCTGCCACTTCTGCAATACAAGCTAATACTGCTGATAGATTGAAAATGTCTACAACACACACGATCATATTTCGTCAGCATGTCAGACCAGTCCTCCCGTTTGATTGCATGAATCCAATATTCTTGCATTTATTTAGAAATTTCACGAGTATTCCTATTAGGTCCTATTGCAGAAATAATTCCGATGGGAAATCAGAGGAATTACCAAATTTTCAATATAAAAACTGCAAGTATGTGAGTGACTATAGTAGGTACTTACTTTTAAATCATAATGTACCAACCGGATTCCTTCGTCTTCCACTGCAGTTTTTGTGCATTGTACAACAGCACAATGTGATGGCATGAGCGAATTAATGAATAGCCGAAAAATACGATTCGTATGCCAAACTTATTGTGAAAAACTATTCCAATCACTTGTAAACAAATGAGAAAAGTGAGGTTGTGTTTCAATGTTATGCCTCCAGGGTCGGTCATCTGACAGTTCATGCACGCAACCCATAATGTGTTTCAAAATCCTTCCCCAAATTTTGTGGTACTGTTTTTCGTGAAATTCAGAAGGATCTACGAAGATTGACCATTATCAGACCTTGCAGGAAGCCAATTATCGTAGATATTTGGAAATATAAATTAAGACAATGACATGAGGTATGAGGAATATCATACCTGAAATAGGTAGGTCGATCTGGATCTGAAGATCAAAAACAATCCGTGACACAGGGATTTATGAAACAATTTTCATATACTTTTGACTGTCACACATGAATTAAATGGGTTATAAAAAAATGAATTCACTATATGATAGCCTTTTGTTTTTCACATCATTTTCACAAAAAAATCAAAAATCCTATTCATGGTTTTTATTTTGAAAAAAAAGCATCGTTTCATAATGGTGGCACTTCCGGGGTAACTTGAAACGAATTGAGTTTTCGATATAAATCAATTGATTTTTCGCGAATTTTTCACATGGGCCATCGCTCACATGAAACATTTTTACATACAAAAAAAATCTCAGTCTCAACTATGAAAGTAAATAATGACAAAAATACAACAAACTGATGCCATATGGATAACAAAGTATAGTGTCTTGGCATGGCTCATATGTGCCTGAAAAAAAATCTATTTGAGTTTTTTTTTTCATTTTTAGGAAAACTAGGCAGGGATATATGTTCCGTCATTCAACGTTGTTCTCTCGGTTAGCAGTTTCCCGTTTTGAAAATATGAAATGTGCGGCCGGTTCCTGAAAAAATGTTATTTATTTCATGAACTCAATGTCATTAGAACGATCGTCAATGCTATTTTCACGTTTTGTTTTCACAGCGCTATGATTGTAAACAAATGATCTACACCATCTTCACTTTCCTTTTCCTCTAAAATCCCAACACTCATCTACATTATCAAATCAGCTGGTTTTCAGTGGCGGTGTAAATTACACTACACTGATAGCAAACATGCTGGTGCGGAGCGGCGGAACTCAATCGCATCGCACTACTTCACTTGGCATCGCCTCGAAATCGCGTCACGTCGCTTCGCTTTGCGTTCGCATACAATTCACCCACCTAGGACACCGCGTTATTTTTCGAAAAATCACTTGACAACAAAATGATAATAATTGAAGTCAATCCTCGCGAGGATTGAACCCGAGCATCAGGATTGGCTCAAGGCGCTCAGCTCTCTCTATGAAGAGGAAATGCATTTCACAAAAACGCTTGTTGTGCGTGACGTCATGTACATGTTCGTCGCCACTGGTCGCTACCGACAACAATCAGTGGCAGCTGCAGTGCCAAGCGACAGTCTTCAGTTAAGATCCACTTGTGTTTCAAACTTTGAATTTTGAATTATCTGACGACTGTCATTATATAAGTGACAATGTTCGGATTGAAGTAACTTGAAACATAACCTCATTCTTCTGTGAATTATTGAAACACAACCTTATTTTTTTATTTGGTTACAGGGGAATCAAAGGATTGAAATAGTTTTTCACAATATTTTGGCATACGAATCGTGTCTTTTGCGCTATTCATCAATTCGAGCATGCCTTCGCATTGTGCAATGTGTGTTGTACAATGCACAAAAAATGCAGCAAGAGACTGAAGAATATGATTTTTCAGTTAAAGAGTAATCTCACATAGTTATCATTATGAAATGTTGTCATTCCCTATTGAAATTCCTTCTGCCTTCTGCCACTTCTGCAATACAAGCTAATACTGCTAATACGCTAATAGATTGAAAATGTCAGCATGTCAGACCAGTCCTCCGGATTGATTGCATGAATTCAATCTTCTTGCATTGTTTTAGAAATTTCAGGTGTATTTCTATTAGCTCCTATCGCAGAAGAAATTCCGATGAGAAATCAGAGAAATTACCAAATTTCAAAAATGACTATATGTGAGTGACTATAGTATGGGTACTTACTTTTAATCATAATGTGCCAACCGGATTACTTCGTCTTCCGCTGCAGTTTTTGTGCATTTCACAACAGCATGATGTGATGGCATGAGCGAATTGATGAATAGCGGAAAAAAACGATTCGTATGCCAAAATAATTGTGAAAAACTATTTCCATCACTTGTAAACAAATAAGAAAAGTGACGTTGTGTTTCAATGTTTTGCCTCCAGCGTCGGTCATCTGACAGTTCTTGCACGCGACCCATTATCTGAGCACCAGCTAGTTGTCTTTTCACAAATATAATGAATCCATATCGAATCGAATAGAAGCATTTGCAGTAATAAGTGCGACTAATACGTATATGGTGCGACTACATAATGTGACAATAAAAACGAGGCTCCGTCTACACAACCGTCACGGCATTTGAATACTGATACACAACTGCTGGCGGTTACCTAGTTTTATATAGAAAATGTCCGTGAAACATGAGAAAGGGAGATATCGTTTCTGCTGTATAGAAATTGAAATCTTTTTCTGCTGAATATGGAGAAAAAAATATTGTGAGCTGTAACACATTTAGCATACGTCTCATTTTTGATTGGAGAACTGATCCTAAACGTTTAATGGTTTAACCCTGGGTCACCCTGTATAAGCAGTTCGAGTCACTCAATTCTGAAGACTGTGGATACCCTTTCCCATTTTTTGAGTAATATGATTGTTTTGAGGTTATACTTTATATCCTTGAACCGCATTTACCATCAAAAAGCCCGGGTGAAGTGGTCTTGGATCGATCGGCCTTGGTCTTCAACAAAATAACAAAAAAACGATACCATTTGAAGTTTGGTCAATGTGGTCATCAAAAACCCAATGAACTCAATTGAACTATATTTAGTTCATTGCAAAAACCCTGTGGTCGAAGTGTGGTTCAAGTGGTCGCGACCGGTTGGCAATAGAATACTCTCCTTACTCTCAAGCAAACTGAACTGAACTACCTGTCCTAAATGAACTTTCCGTTTGAAAAGTATATTTTTCGAAAAATTACTTGTGAAAAATATCAAAGAAAAAATTAGGACTCGCGGGTATTGGCAAGGTGACGATTCCGATACGGCACCTGGTGGGCAAATTTGAACCAGTTTAGGACGTAATTCAAGGTCATGTTTGTTATTGTGTTCAGTGGGTTTCATATTTTATGAATACCATTCAACAAATTACGTTAATTTTCTCTTCTTGCTTCTCTTGAGTACAAGACATGAACTTTATATCAATTGCCTAATCAATTCTATATTATTTTATAAATTAGTATCAACAAATCTCTGATAATACGCAAAATCAACTGTTTGGTTGCTGGTTGAACTAGTAGAAGGTTCCAATGGAAAAATGTAGGACCAATAAAATGTCCTCTAATATGAATTTCCTGCACTCAAGAAGTCTTTTCTGATAAGGAAAAATCAGTTCAGTTGAATGGAAAAAATGGATAAACGTTGAGAATCCAAATGAGTTTGAAAAGTGGATGTATGCAGCTCCAACAAAAACTTCCTACCTTCCTTCACTTCATTGGTTCAATAATGATAACAATAAGGTAAATTTGTGATTCATTGATATAATTATTACTGATGAATAACTCTTATTTGCAGTGCCTGCCTATCTGAGAGAGAACATGATTGAAATTATCAACAGTTCATACCTATTTTGTTTATGGGGAAATGTCTCCAGGAATTGGAAAAATAAGTATGGTTGTTTTTCTTTCAAATATTTTCATAAGAAAAATGAAGCAAATTCAATGCCTTTGACTTTTGAACTGCAATACACAAAGCTGGGCAAGAAAATAGACATCATGAACATGTGCAGGTGGGTAATTAATGGTTTTATTTGTAATGCTTGACTCATGTTCATGACATCCTGCCTAGGCCTCCATAGATTCTTATTTTGTAGTATCATCTTTGTAGTAAAATTGCCAATGCAGATTGCATGTACTTCCAAAACAATTAAGTTAAAATACAGCTCCCAATTACATTCATATGAGCAAAAACAGTAGCATATTTTATAGATATATAATAACCCTGGTACAAGCAGGTCATTGTAGGTAGCTCACTTCATAGCTTGAATTGAATCTTTGAACATACATTGAAGTGACACAATCTATTTCTATTTAAATATTTAGATTGTGTAATAGCTAATAGATATGGTTTGTTTATAGTAGGTACTAACATTTCTTCAATTTTTCAGCAGGAGAGGAGTTGCCATCCAGGGTATCTTGCAATTGAGTGCAAATAGTTACACAAATTGAAACCAAAACCCAGATTCCTTGAAGTTGAATTCAAGTTTTTAAGGAGATATCACTGATTATTTGGGTACTTGAATACATCCATGACATTTCAAATTGTATCTTGGAATAATGTATTCATAATTGTACTGCTTGTATGTTATTATTAAACTGTATTTATTCATAAGTAAAAGTTCTACTTTTTTTTTTCTTTTTGTAATGTTTTATTGTAGGTTTTCAAAATTCATATTTCAATTCCACAACTACCTGAATCAACACCTCATTCTTTTTTGATGCAATTTCAAAGTTTCACTTTATAATCTTTACTGATTCCTTTTAAAATAGGTACCTACCAGGTAGATACTTACTTTTGCTCATTGTTAATTTATTTCTACATATATGAAAGTCCTGGATTTCAAATTAATTTTTAATTGTAAATTTTTATGAAGGTATCTTGTAAAATAATTCAGGGAAAAACAGTATACATGAGCACTAAGGGAAGGAGTATACTGGAAGATCCTTCTATTTGTAGGTACTTCTTTGGAGTGGCATAAGTACAGTAAAACACATGTTATGACAATGTGCTTTCATTTTTGAAAATAATTATTAATTCAGTTCCAAAATATACAAAACATAATGAACTATATACAGATTGGTAAGATAGATATTTTCAATTAGATGAATTTAGGATTACAAAATATCAAATCACAAAATCTATGATAATATACTGTGTAAATACATTAACTGAAATCCTAGGTCATTTGATCAATGTTTTATGTGGTGGAATTCCAAATTATTCAATGATTTCATCAATATGGTAAAAAAAACTAGCTTTACAAGATATTAAATGAATTCCAAGAAGAAAACTCAGTCTAGGATGCCACCTACATCAACTCTAAGTATATTAGGAATATTCACATTATGAAAAGTGTGTTATATGGATACAATTCACACACATGGCACATAGGATCATGACAATTTGCTGTTATTGCAGTGGAGCACCATAATATATGAGGTATGGGAGTTGCACTGTAAACAATCCTCAAAGCCTGGAAGTAATATTGTTGAAGCTAGGCCATTGATAGTTGTATCAACTATTAAATCCACAGCTGTGTCCACAGTAATGTCAGGATGCCTTTGGTGTTGAATTATTACTTGGTTTAGACTCATTAGAGCTGGTTGCTGCTGATTTCTATTATATATAATTGCACATGATTCTGATGGCTATAATATTTAGCACAGAATAGTCGAATAGGTTAACACATTGTTTAGGGATGGTTTTCAATATGTTCACAGAAGGCTGTTCACTGTTGAAAAACCTCACTCCTGGTATGACCATTTGTGGTCTGTAGGATCCTTTTGCTTGAAGAGTGGAGTTATAGAGGTATGATGGTGAATATATCAGCTTCTGATGATAGTGGATATGCTTGTGATTTTTGATATCCCATAAAGCTGTCCCACAGAAATGCACTGGTTTGAAGAAAGCTCAGACTATTTGGTCCACGATTCAGTCAGTAGGTAACAGTTATTTTCCTCACATCACGATGAAACAGTATCATCCAACAAAAAATATTATGATTTCAGTAAAAAGTTCAACAAAAAACACAAATAACACGATGAAATATCAAGAAGAAAATGTATGCAAATCTCAGGAAATTTTGTAAACAAACTACACACTCTTTGCCGCCATCTTGTTTTGAAACAGCGCCCCCAACGGTCGATCACCTTGCCAATTGATTTCGAGTCACGGCCGTGGTAGTCAGATGTCCACCGAGCTATCGCTTTGCTTGAAAGTACTCTATAAAGAAGAGAGGTTTACGTACAAGTTTACGTATCAGTATTCAATCGTCCCGACGGTTGTGTAGACACTAGACAGTATCAAAAAGCGAAGCGATTGTCATTTGTCAAAGCGAATGGCGTCACCGCGTCAAGCGTCAACGTGTATTTTATAACTTTAGCATTTTCTTAAATTTTTAAATTTTATTATATTCAAATATTACTTTATTGTTTGAAGAAAGTAGTTACGCTAGCCTTAAGAATATATATCAATACATATTTTGTGTTATTGTTCTTTTCAGGTAACTTCATAATTTTATGGAATAGGTTATCACCTATTGGAATAAAAAATGTTCATTTCTGGCAAGATTCAAAGACAAACTAATTTAGTTTTTTTTAATTACTGTGAGACAGCAGATATGAACCTTTTTTTGGTTTATTTCCTGATAACAAATTTTTGATTTAATAATTTGATTGACCTACATATTTGTTATTACATGAACTAGATTCATAAATTTTTCAGCACTATCCTACAAAAATGGCAGATAGTGATGATGAATATGATAGAAAACGGAGGGATAAGTTCCGTGGGGAAAGAGCAGAACCAGCTTATAGAGGCACTGATAGGGTTGCAAGACCTCGTGATGAATGGTCAGAAAGGTAAGATATATTCAGTTATATTATTCATTGAAAACTAGGTATTGGACCCCTGATATAGCTCCTGACATCTATAAATTTGTTAAGTTCATACTGTCCATGTTTATACCATTTGTGTTGGTTAGCTGACTAATGACTATACACTTCAACAGCCTTCCTGAAATATTCAAAAAAGCAACTTCCACAGTGTCATTTAAGAATCTGAGGACTTACATGAAACAAGAAGAATAATTATTCACAATCTCATTGATCCTAATAATATTATTTTTGAAGATGGAAAAAACGAATTTGGGGCCATGTATTTTCAATTTACATTTTTTTACATATTCACTTGTTCTGACAGAAAGTCTTTCATGGTACTTCTCATTTTCAATAAAAGCACTAAATAGTTCTTGTAACAATCACAGAAAGAAGATTTTCAGTAGAAGTCATTTGAATCTACAAAAAAAAACTTTGAACAAAGTTTAATAATAAAAAATCATATATGATGAGAATCAGAGGATATGTTTTTTGCTGTAAATGCCTACTATCAAAAGTACCTTCTGGGAATGTTACAGCTACTATACAGTCATATATAGACTGCATAACTCATCATTATGAAACTAGAAATAAATCCAGAAGCAATCTGTCTACTCCATTTGTAAACAATTCTTGCTCATAGAATATTCAAATTACCTACTACCACCATGGCTGGGAAATATTAGAAACCTTAAAACATTTTCAGTCAAATGCAAACTTTTCCTACACAGAAATCTGAACTCATTTCTCATTTGTCAAGTTACTCTGAAATTTTTCCTACAATAAGTTTGTATAGGTAAGTATCTACATCTACCAACATTTTTACATTACTTCAGTTCTCCATTTATTTCTTCAGAGTCATCTGTAACATTAGTTAGTTTAAGTGCATTAGGTATTATATGTACACCTTACAGACTTGAAATGATGCACATCACAGATGCCCTGCACACCTAGGTGCTAATACTTGATATAATGTGTATTTTTATTTCTTTCATCATGATATTTATTGTGAACAGTTGCTGTGAAATGCATATTAAATATTTATCAAGAATAAGAATTAGAATGAATTGCTCATTTGCTTGGAACATGAAAATAGGATTTCAATTCTTTTTTATTGAAGTTTCAAATGTTTCAATATCTTGAAAACAATGAGGTTTATACTGGGGTCTATATGAGTTTATTATATTTATTCAAACATTGTATGCACATAAAAAATAATCCTATTGGCTAATAATAGGGTGAGAAGTGAGCTATTATACAGGGTGGGGTTGGGTAACCACACAGCTCCAAGAGTCTTCTCCTTTCTAGGATTTGAATGTCCATTGTCAACAAGGGCTACAATTTAAAATATTTTGAAATGTACAGAGTGTTTAAAAAAAGCGCAATATACCAAAGGTATATTGTTTGTGATGAAAAGCCTTGTTTTTTTTTGGGGACTTTTTTGATTCCTCATTGAAAATGAGACCCACCCTTTGAAGATTCTCTGTACCTATGATTCACTGTTTCATAAATATTTAATTTTTTTCTTTGAAAAATCTGGGGTCCAGCAAAATTTTTATATCTGCTGAGTCAATTAATTTAATTTATTCATTTTGAATACACCAAGGCAAAAATACTGCACCTGGACATGACTTTATCAAAAAATCACTAATAAAACACCTACATCACAAGATCCGTCAATACAATATCATTCAAATATATACAGGGTGTTTCATAATTGAATGCTGATCCTAAAGGACGATAATCCTTGGATGATTTTAAGAAAAATTCTTTATGTGAACATAGGTCCATAACAGCTTCGTTTCTGAGATACAGGGTGTTGAAATTTAACAAAAAAATCAGTTATTCTCCAATATCTCTGAAACCGCTCTGGCTTTTCTCTTCAATTTTGGTACATGCCATGGTACATGAATAGAAATACATTTTTTCCATGATAAAGGATTTCTTAATTTCCATCAGTGGCGTCCCTGTTAACATACCCTGTCATATTTTTCATCAAAATAATGATACGCCACTGTCTTTTCTCCAAATAAATATCATTTTTGGAATTACCCTCTCATCTTCTCATAAAAATGGTCTGTTGTCTTTTTTTCATCCGGCGAACGGCTTTTGAGTTAGAAAATAAAATGCATTCATTTGCTTGTCCCTATTTGATTTTTACTCTTAGTCATAATTCCACAATTGTGGTAACCAAAAGATCTAAGCAATACTTTTATAATTTTATGGTAACTATTTTTAAGTTTTTGTAATGAAGAAAAAAGCCAGAGCAGTTTCAGAGATATTGGGAAATAACTGATTTTTTTGTTATATTTCAACATCCTGTATCTCAGAAACGAATCTGTTACGGACCTATGTTCACATGAACAATTTTTCTTAAAATCACCCAAGGATTATCGCCCTTTAGGTACAGCATTCAATTATGAAACACCCTGTATACCGGGTGGCTACGGAAGTATTGCCTACGGAATATCTCAGTTATTGTATGAAGTAGGTTTGTGAAATTTGGAGCGTCGATATAATGACATAAGAGCTAGAATTTGAGCATATTGACATGTCGAAGTTAACTTCCGGTCTGACCGGAAGTAATATCAACTTTCTTATTTTAAATGGAAACCCTATTTTTTTTTTCTTTTCGCTTTATTCAGCATTCAATTCCCTTTCTAATGACATATCACAAGTTGGTATCTAACCAGAAACTAGATCAGACAAAAATTATTGAAATTCACCGAGTAGGCCGTGGAAGCAAAATGAAAGCCAAAAATTGAAAAGTTGACTATGGAAACCATACGTCACTTGATAACAGTTGCTACTACTGTGATATTTTATTTTCATTCGTCGGCGTTATAAAAAGCCGCCAATAAAAATATTGGAAAAATTGGGAAAAAACAATACTCTGTAGGTTCTGTAGTTAACTTCGACATGTCAATATGATCAAATTCTAGCTCTTATGTCATTATATCGACGCTCCAAATTTCACAAACCTACTTCATACAATAACTGAGATATTCCGTAGGCAATACTTCCGTAGCCACCCGGTATATATCAGTTCTGCTTAAAAAACAGCTATACTCCTAGAGAATGGAAAACCGGTACAATCGTTACAATTCCTAAACCCATCATGGACCATTCAAAACCTACCAGTTATAGGCCAATTACATTGCTTCCAGTGCTAGGAAAAAACTTTGAAAAAATGATAAAAAATAGACTACTGACATCAATAGGACCTCATATCCCAGGGTATCAGTTTGGATTCAGAAGTCATTGTTCTACAACTCACCCACTTGCAATACTCACCAACAATATAGAAGCGGCTAAGCTCACTGGCGACAAATGGCAGCAATAAAGCATTCTACAGTGTATGTACGAAAGGCCTCATATTCAAGCTAGACTTCCGTAACTGCCCGAAATATCTGATACACATAATAGACAGTTTACTAAGTGAGAGAAATTTGAGGGTGAAAGTTTAAGACAAATTATCACACGAATTCACACCACAACAAGGAGTTCCACAGGGATGACCACTATCACCCCTACTCTATAACATATACTGTTCAGATACATGGACACACGATATTTCAATTTCGATAATTGCATACTACAATACACAGATGACACTGACATGCCCTCGTCGCACACGGCAGAAACTCAAATGCAGCCATTGAAAAACTCCAACAATTAGCCAACAAAACAACAGCATGGTTCAATAAATGGCGACTGAAACCAAATCCAAGGAAGTCACATTTAGTAATATTTTTTCATTCGAATATTTTTTTTATTTGGCATCACCTGCATCTCCCACAGTTACTTTGCTTGACCATGAACTAAGATCTGAAAATACTACAAAATATCTAGGAATTGATATGGATCACAAAATCAACTTCAATGTACATACTGGAAATGTGAAAAGGAAAACCTTATCAAGAGCAAAACATTTTCAATCAATGTCAAAAAAGAACATGGCGTCAATTTATACACAAAAATTAAAATCTACAAAATGATTTGCAGACCACTGCTTGAATATGGACATATAATATTCCAGAACTTGAGAAATCCTGCCTTAAAAAATCTCAAAGTAGCTGAAACAACTGCTCTACGTATCATTACCAGACTAAGACATCCTAACAATCCCATCCACAATCCACCCAATGAACTACTGAATGAAGAAAATCTCACATCGACAGTAGTAATTTCGAATTAGAGGGTGATGAAAAAAATTGCGGTTTTTGAATATTTTTTTGTGGGTGTCAATTTTTTCAATCAATGCATCCTTCAAAAATATTATGAATGTCCTGAATCGACCCAATAATACGAGGTGGCCCAATGAACTTCAGGAAAGATAAATTGTGCAATCAACGGCATTTATGAAACACCGTGTATAATTATTACATTTTACGAATTCAATTGATGTAAGAAGAGAATACTTGGCTATGATTCTAATTTTGTAATTGTTATCAATTTGTAGCATTGATATTCAGATATTGGAAAAACACATTAGTTGAAATGTGAATCACCCTGTAATGATAATCAGTTTTGATCAGATACCTATTGGTTCTTGCGCCCAAGGGCGAAACCAAACGCGAAAAATTGGAATTCATTTGTCTTATCTTGGAGATATGGGCCGGGAAAAAGGGAGCATTTTTCAACTTCTACACCCTGTATTTCGAAAACTAGTCATAGTATTGAGTAGGGACTCGGTATATTTGATTAGTAGGTCGAGTACCATCATGTACTAAAAATTTGGGAAATTCGACGGAACGCCATTTTTAAATAGAAAAAGTGCGAGGTCCTTTGCGTCTTGGCAATATCCAATTATCCAACGGGTGGAATCTGGCTAATGAAAATGGCCAGAATCGCGATTCGCGTATGTACAGGCTGGGCCGAATTGGACACCTTTAAAGGGACAGTCCTATACCTGTACTAGATAAAAGAAAACTGATGGTGATTACTGTTGATCAATTCACATGACGAAATCAATGGTGAAAGCT